CCCAAAGACAGAACTCTACCACCCTTCTCCCAGGTCAGCACCATCTTTTGGAGAAGTAGCTTTTCATAACGTCCTGTCTGAGCTTGAGGTCCTTGTCCTGTGTGGCAGAGTCTGGCAGCCTGGGAAGTGTTTGAGCCTACCTTCATCAGGTGCAGTTAGATCCCCCCTTACCACAGGATCCCTGGTTCCCCCATCCAGCTCTTCCCACCTGTCCTGTGCCCCAGGGATGACCGTCTTGGTGACTCTCCACTGGACTCTGCTGCTTCTCCACACCACCCTTGAACTGGGCAGCCTTGGCCTAACCATGGCAGCATCCCCAGGGCCTGGCAAGGGAAAGGAAAACACCTCCCCCAGTGTCCCGGCCATGCTCCTCCTGGCTTGGCCCAGGACATTGTTTTCCTCATTCTCCATAGGAGCATATCTGTGGGACTCATTTGGGACTCGTTTTATGGGGGCTCAGAGTGGGAGCAGCGCTGGGGCGTGGGGCCAAGGCACCCACCTAGGGTTTGTGGGGTGATGAGCATGGCAGGGGGAGCAGGGAGGGCTGTGGGGCTGGGACCCCAAGAGCATGGAAGAGGAGTCCCAAAAGCATGGAGAGGAGCCCCCAAACCACAGAGGAGGGAGGAGGCAGGATGTGGCCAAGGGGACAAGCCCTGGCTCCTGCAGCAGCAGGGGAGCTGCAAAGCCAGCCCCCAGCCCCGGCCCCGCAGGGAGAAAGGAGCCAGTGGGGAGATAAGGCTGGGGATTTAAGGTTCCTGGCAGATCCTGACAGCCAGGGCTGCCTGGTTTCCATCAGCCTTTAAAAATGCCTTGCTGGAGTTCAGGGATCCTTGCTGCCAGGAGAAACAGGGCCAGGCGGAGGGGGTGAGAAGAATCCTCCTTCCTCAGAGCCCTCACCATGGGCTGAAGGTGCCATTTAGGGACTTTATTGCAGGAGGGAGCTGTGTACTCAGAGCTGTTTCCAGGAGGGGCCTGGGGGGGACTCTGAAGGCTCGGGCAGTTTGGGATGCAGGGGAGCCTGGTTGGAGCCTGCCCAGCTCGCCCTGGATTAATTAAACATTCGGTTAGAGAGAGGCAGTGAGACATGAAGGAAACAGGGAACCCCTGTGTGGCCCCTCCTGCACATTGGCAAAAGGCTTTCCCTGAGCCATTGGATGCCTTTCCCTGCTGAGCTGCCCTGGGACAGGAGGGCTGGAAGCTTGGTGCCAGCAGCAGAGGTGGCCTTGCCTCCCACGTGCTGGTGTTGTCCTCTGCAGGGAGGGCAGGATCCTTGGGGATCTCCTCTAGCTCAGTTTATTCTGTGATTCCCAAAGCACGTGCCTTCCCCATCACGAGCACCTTTCCATGCCCTGGGAGTGAGTGAGTGAGTGAGTGGGTGGGTGGGAAACAAGGACCCCCAGAGCTGCTCAGCATTCCCAGCCTTGCTGGAGAGAGCCACAGCCAGTACTGCAGGCTGCCCCCGAGCATCCATCCATGGACCTGTGCAGCAGCCAGGCAGTTAAAGGTCCCTCTGTCCCTGTGAGCCCCTGTGAGCATCCCATCCGTGCTGGAGGTGGGGAAACTGCTGCAGTGATGGGGCCAGAGCCTCTGGCACCAAAATCGTCCTGCAGGGATGAAGGAGGCTTGGATAAAGTAGAAATTTCTGTTCTTCCACTGTTTCAATTCCCTCTTTCCAAGCAGGAATTTCTAGGGATGTCCTTGCTGCAAGCCTAAGGAAAAGCAGCAATATCCCAGAGCTGCTGTCACCTCCCAGGGCAGAAAACTGGGGTGTCCTCATGTCTGTGACAGGCTGGACATGAGGAAAAGGTTCCTCCCCCTGTGCTGGCACTGCCCAGGCTCCCCAGGGAATGGGCACGGCCCCGAGGCTGCCAGAGCTCCAGGGGTGTTTGGACACTGCTCTGAGGCACAGAGTGGGATCTTGGGGTGTGTGTGAAGGACCAGGAGTGGGACTGATGATCCTTCTGGGTCCCTTCCAGCTCAGGATATTCCATGATTCTGTGATGCTTCTAGCACATGGTGAGAACATTCCCATTGTTCAGGCAGGAGGGATTTTAGCCCCTGTGTAAAGATTTCACTCTTGATTTGCTGTTCATGTTGGAAACAAGAGTTTGGGTGGATTTCCAAAGAAAATCTGTTTTCTCACCAGGGGAAGACCTGGAGGGAGCAGATCAGTTTTGAAGTCAATGTTCATTTATTTTACTTCTGGAGGTTGTCATTACTGGAGAAAAAATAAATCAACAACAAAAAAGGACTTTGCATCAAATTTCAATGATTTTCCTGTCTTACACATGATTTCAGAACATTTAACTTCAGAGAAGTTCTGATTTTTCCAGGATTATTTTATCCCATGCAGGACCTGCTGGGGAGGAAGGGACTTGCCAAAACTTCTGGCTGTGTTCTGGTGTCTCATGCAAAGAGTTTCAGTGTCCCAACTCAGTATTTTTGAGGAACAACCACTGAGCCTCAGTTTTTATCTCTCTCCAGCCATTGACCTGTGTCAGGGCCAATGTGGGGAATGTTTTTATCCCTTGGAGTAGTCACTACACTCCACAGCCTGGGCACTTTTTAGATGTCTTTCTATCTTGATGCAGAAAAAGCATTATAGGAAAGTATCTATTTTTAAAATAAACCTCAGGAAGGTGAAAGAGCCCCTTGTCTGAAACTATCCTTGCTGGAATGACCCTGCATTTCGCCTGGGCTGTCAGATGAGAGCAATTTTATCTCTTGGTCCTTTGTGTGTCTCAAATATTGGTATTAGTGAAGGAAGCCTGTTATCATGTCCCCATCGCTTCTGGGGGATGCAGAACTGCCCAGCCATCACCTCTCCCAACAGCTTAACACCCTCTGAGATGGGCTGGTCCCAAGGGACGTGGGTCAGGAATGGAATCCAACAGGTGAGGGATCGATGGAAGTATTCAGGAACATGAGGAGGATCCCGTTTTTCAACATCTCCTTTGACCATAAGAGGAAGGAGGGACAGTGCAAGCAGGAAGGCTGGTGGAATTTCTCTGTAGAGCTTTTCTCACTGGAAACTGAGGATAATTCTGGAGGAAAGGAGATGACAACTGAAAGAAAAAAAAAACAGCCTTCTTTTCTTCCTTTTCTCCCAGATAAGAAATACCTACGTCTTAGCAATGGCTCTTGCTCACAGCAGCCCCAGTGAATGCTTCTCCCAGACTGTTTTCTGACCTGCCTCATTCCTGGGAGCCTTGGCAGGCGACTCAAGGAGAAGTTTGTTAAACTTGTTTCAGCACAGGAACCACCTGCCTCCCCCAGGCTCTTCAGGCTGTAGTAAGAATTAACAGCAACAGAAAGTCACAACAGGAGTAACCACAGAGGAATGGTCAGAGCCAAGCCTTTCTTTGGGCACTGGTGATCCCTGGGCTTGGAAAGGACTTCCTGATGTTGAAAGCTTTTATCCATGAGTGCTGAATCCGTTAGTGCTGATCACTGTGTGGTCCAGCCTTCACCACTGTCTGCTTTAGGCACCACACACCCCCGTGTTCCCCTCACCCACCCTGTGGGGCTGGACACACGTGGGGTTGAGTGGCTGCTGCTTATGGAGCATCTTCTTCACCCGTGAGGGCTCAGAGCCTGGAGGGAGAGCCCAGCCCGCTGTTACTGCTCAGCAGAACCAACAATTTATTTGAGTCATAAAATCATTACGGTTGGGAATGCCCGTAGGATCATCAACCCAGCACTTCCATGTCCCCAGGTGCCACATCTACAAAGTCATGAAGACAAAAGTCTCTGGAGAGTTGCAAAAGGACCAGGGGATGAGAAGGCAATTGGAATTCAAAAGACTTGAGGTGATACAAATGGGAGAAAACAACCCCAGGTTCATGGAATGGTGAAATCACAGAATGGTTTGGGTTTGGAGGTGCCTTAAAGGTCATCTGTCACGGGCAGGGGCATCTTCCAGTAGACCAATTCACACACACCTGCACAGAGATGAGCTAGGAGCTCGCCCAATGTCCCTCACAACTCAGATCTTGGGGCTTTCACAGTCAGTGATTAAAAAATAATGTGAGCATTGATTAAAAAAGAAGAGAATAAACCAATGAATGTTGTTAAGCAGTGTGGAGCATGACAGAGATTTGGACAATTTAGAGGTTGTGGACAAGGCAGATGGTGATTGAGTGTCCATCAGCTATAGAAATGTGGGATGGCATCAAGAATGGCAGCTTGGCTTTGAAGCAGAGAGCAGCAGTTTCTTCCTGCAGCGTGTGGTTACAGCACAGGGCTCTTTGTGGGTAAAACAGGTGCAGGACATTTGCAGGGAATAAAAAATGAGTGGGTAACATAGTGGGACAAAACACCCTCATGGGGTCTTGAGTGGAAGGAGCTGCATCTTAGAAGGGAGTGGGGAAGTGTTGTGGGCAGCACGTGCACCTAGTTCATGCCCTGCTCCTTGGATGGTCATGGAATCATGGAATATCCTGACTTGGAAGAGACCCACAGGGATCAAATCCAACCCTTGACCCTGAACAGACACCCCAACAATCCCAGCCTGTGCATCCCTGGGAGCATTGTCCAAATGCTCCTGGGGCTGTGGCAGCCTCAGGGCTGTGCCCATTCCCTGGGCAGCCTGGGCAGTGCCAGCACCCTCAGGGGGAAGAACCTTTCCCAGATCTCCAGCCTAAAGCCCCCTGACAGTCACTGTTGGGGAGATGATTCTGGTGTCCATGGTCTGACCTGGTACAGCCACTCACATCTTCTTATGTGGCAGTGGCTAAAAATTCCCTCTGCACTCTACAATCCCTGTTCTGCACTCATGGTTGGGGAATGGGGACAGAGGTGTCTGCATGGGGATCCATCTCTGCAGGTGCCTCCTCAGGGCTTTCCAACCAGCTGCTCCTTCTCTGTTGTGTTCACCTGCAGTTGTCAGGATTTCCTCTGGAGTCTGCAGAGCCCCAGGGATTGTTCTGGCAGCAGTGCTGGGCTCCAGGCATCCCCCCAGCCCCCTTCTCACTGCTCACCACTGCTCTCTTCTCTTCCAGGCTGCCCCTCGGGAACATTCAAGGCCAGCCAGGGGGATGAAGGGTGTGTCCACTGCCCCATCAACAGCCGGACAACCTCGGAAGGGGCCACAAACTGCGTGTGCCGAAATGGATATTACCGGGCAGACGCCGACCCTGTGGACATGCCGTGCACCAGTACGTGGGTCTGGGCACCTGGGAGGGGACCAGGTGGGGACAGGAGATGATCCTCAGTCAGAGCACTGAGGGATGCTTGACAAAGGTGTCTGTCCCAGTGGGGTTTTGAAGGACGCTACACAAACTAACTGGTAAATTTTGCCAGGACTTTCACACAATGAAATTAGCCTGGGGTAAGAGGTTTCGCTCCCACTCTTAACCTTTGGATGCCGAGAAGCACCCAGCTGGGCTGACACAGAGTCCTGCCCAGGGATGGGGAGGAGGAGGGTGCAGCTGTCTCACACCTTCCCGTCTGTTCCCTTTGCAGCCATCCCGTCTGCCCCCCAGGCCGTGATCTCCAGCGTGAACGAGACGTCGCTGATGCTGGAGTGGAGCCCGCCGCGGGACTCGGGGGGCCGGGAGGACCTGGTGTACAACATCATCTGCAAGAGCTGCGGGGCGGGCCGCGGGGCCTGCACGCGCTGCGGGGACAACGTGCAGTTCGCCCCGCGCCAGCTGGGCCTCACCGAGCCTCGCATCTACATCAGCGACCTGCTGGCACACACCCAGTACACCTTCGAGATCCAGGCCGTCAACGGCGTCACCGACCAGAGCCCCTTCTCCCCGCAGTTCGCCTCCGTCAACATCACCACCAACCAGGCCGGTAAGGGCCGGCGCTGCCCCGGCACAGCTCCGGCGCTGCCCCGGCACAGCTCCGGTGCCGCGGGCTGGGGTCGGGCCTCGTGAAGGCTGAGCTGGAGAAGAGACCTGGCGGAGCTAAAGAGTAAAATAGGGATTTGTTAAAAGGCCTCAAATAGATCCACCTTGGCCAGCACAGCCCAAAATGGTCCCAAAACGCATGAGCAGTCACGGGGTCTCTCACTTGTATAAGTTTTGGTCCATTTGCATATTGGAGTTCATTGTCCAGTTCCAGCTTTAGCCCATGCAGTCCCATCCTTCTTGTTTTCTCTCTTCAGTCCACCTTATTTGTGCTCTTATTTGGGCCTGAGATCTGGATCAGCTGTCCTTGGGTCCCCAGCTAGAGAAGGAATGGTTTTGTCTACCTATTCTGTGGAGAGAGCTTACTATCCCCTAATATGATGCCTAGAGTTACACATTAAAGCAGAATGGAATCTGAAAAATATAAAAGCTAAAACCTGAGGCATCAGGGCTGGGCAGCATCTCTGGGCAGTGCTGGCTGAGCCTCTGTGGGCTGGAAGGGGACAAGAAGTGAGGTAAGATGTTCCTTATTCCATAACGTTGGTGGTGATGAGTGCCTGGCAATTCCTGAGTGAATCCCAAGTCCTGAGTGTCAAAATATCCCTTATTCCATTGAAAAGCTGGATCGTGCCCCAAGGCAGAGCTGCCTCCCCATCATGGCAGCAGAACAACTGGTGGCACTGTCCCATGGTGTCACAGCATCCCTCTGCAGCACTGGCTATGGCTGGGCCTGACGCTGGTGTCTCGAAGCATCATTGCAGCTCCACCAGAGTGTTGCACACACTCCTGGTTCCTGGGGAGGGAAAGGGAGGTGGCTCCAGCGTTTTGGTAGGAGCTGCAATCTCTGCTTGGACTGTGGAGAGAGCCAGGACAGACTGAGAAAGCAAAGGAGAGCTGCACAGGAAAGGGGCTGGGAGATGAATATTTGGGATAACAGTCTGGGAATCTGCTCCAGTTCCCGTGCCACTGCAGAGTCACTTGGTGAAGCAGCTGAAGCACAGAGCTGGGAGGGTTTCACTCGGTGTCTCCAGCCCTGTGCAGGGTGGCTTTCCTGGGGGAGGGATGGCTGGTAGTGCTAGTCCTGGGAGGGTCCCCAGCAGCCCTCTGGCAGCTGTGCCAGGGGCAGGGAGCCCCACGGAGCTGCTGGCCAGAGCCTGCCGTTCCAGCCCACCTGGAGCCATCTGGAGCTGGGCACAGGCCGGGGCTGGGGCTCGGCTTAATGGGATTGAGGTGGAAGGATGCCAGTGAGGCACAGCCCTGCTTGGGAGCAGGGGAGATTCTGGTCCCTCTGCAGCTGCCCTGGACACACTGGACCCCCATGGCTGAATTTGGCAGGCATGGGTGGATTGCCTGGAGGCCATTGTGTGCTCTGGCTGCCAGGGATTGTGGGTGGGGTAAAACAGCAGTAGGGCAGGTGGGCATTACTTGGGCATCATTTCCAGAGTGTGAGGACAGAGAGAACCTGCAAAAATGCCTGGGTGAATTATTACGGTGCCCACTGCTCTGGAGCTAGCTCGGGAGTGGGGCCAGGGTGTTTTTGAAGCCCTGAAGGCAGGTCTGCCCCAGGAAGGAGAGGGGAACGGGTCTGGATGATCAGTTTCCTTTACCTGATGGAGATGAGGTGGCTGTAATGCTACCTGGAGCTGGGAAGGGGCTCTGCACTCTCCCACCATGGTCCTGTACTGTGGATTAATCATTTGATGCTCATATTTCATACTTGCATTTCTCTGCTGTGCTTGAACCTTCATGTATCACCCGCGGCTGCTCCCACCTGAGCAAAACCAGCGAGCTGAGTCGAAGGCAAATCCTTCTCAGTCCCCTGCATGCTCCTCCTTGTGTTTTCCTGGTTTGACACTCCTTTATTATCAGGGCTCACACTTCTCAGCCTGTGTGATGTCTCCCTTAATGTATCTATTCATTAGCACTAAACACTAACTGTCTGCTCGCTAATTCCTCTGTAATTAGAGGCTCTGGATTCTTCTGCTTACACTTGTGCTGGCACCGCCTGGCAGCCTTGGTGTAGATCATTAGCAGTTGGTAACAGAAGCTGCAGACACGAAGGCAGAGCTGGGATAGGAAAATGGGGGGTGTTGGGGGAGAGGAGAGGGAGCAGAGGGAGGATGAGCCTCCCTCTGCCTTGGCTCTGGATGGAGGAGCCAGCTGGGGCTCCATTGTTGGATGTGTGATGGGGTTGTGCCCCTGCCGCAGCTGGACACAGCAAAGTGCCCACCACCCCTCGGGGTCCTGCAGCTCTGCAGGAAGCAAGGAAAATCCCCCTGGTTCCCCAAAGGGCACAGGGGGAGTGCTGGGGACCCTCTGTGCTGCAGGACTGAAGAGACATGCCCCATGACCAGCAGCATCCAAAACCTTCAGCTGTCACCAGTTCTTCAGCACCCACATTTTATAAGGGCATGGAGTGCCAGGACAAGGGGGGATGGCTCCCCACTGCCAGAGGGAAGGGTTAGATGGAATATTGGGAAGGAATTCTTCCCTGAGAAGGTGAGGAGGCCTTGGCACAGGTTGCCCAGAGTAGCTGTGGCTGCGCCATCCCTGACATTGCCCAAAACCAGGTTGGATGTGGCTTGGAGCACCCTGGGATAGTAGAAGCTGTCCCAGCCCATGGAAGGGGTGATGAGCTTTTGTATCCCTTGCAACCCAAACCATTCTGGGATGCCAGGAAAAATCTCCTGTGAGAGTAAGAAAACCCCTTTAGAGCAGCCAGAGGGAAGGAGGGTCCTGAGTGTGGCCAGGTGGGTGGCACGTGCTGGGTGATGGTTGGGTGACCATCATCCCACAGCCGTGACCCCTTCCAGCAAACTGGATCCCCACACACATGATCCACCTGCCTTCCTGGGCAATACCTTCTGTCACCTCTGACCCAGGCTGGGTTCTCTCTCTGCTCTTCTCAGCAGGTTCTCCACCTCTAGCTCCACACTGTGCATCTCCAGCTCACCTGCACTCCTGCTTCTCACACCCTGCAGCTGAGCAGTACCTCGTTCCCCAAAGCTCAGCATCCCTTCAGGAGGGAAATCCAGGACTCTCCAGGTGCCACAGCCCCGTCTGCAGGGACCATGACAGAGCCTGGGTGCCATCAAAAGTCTTTTCCCAGCCATTCCTCAGCAACTGGTCTGAGCCAAGAGTGGGGCTGAGAGCATTGCCAGCAGCCCAAGAGGTCAAGGAGCTGAGCCTGACCCAGGGCTCTGGATAACAACACTTGACTAATTGAGAACCTTGCCAGGCACCAGCTCTTGCTGGCAGCCCCTGCCTACTAATTTGTGGCCTTTCTTTGGGGAGGGGTGGGGAGTGGGGAGAGTCTTGGTGCTGTGAGGATTTGCGGGCTCCATCCACACCATGGACAGGCTGAGTGCCCTGGGAAAGCTGAAGGAAAAGGCTCCATGGTCAGGGAGGATTTAATAGCAGTGGGACAGGCACTTCTTGGTAACTGGCTTTTGTGACCTGAGGAGGGAGGAAGAAGCTTTGGGCTCTGGAGTATCCAGAGACAAATCCAAGACCTCCCAGTGGTGGGGGTAAGAGAGCATCCAGGCTCTTGGGAATGTGTCCCTTTTGTGAGCAAGTCTTGTCACAGGGGATAAGGAGGGAGGATTAGTGCTGATGTCAGAGGCTCTTGGCTGCAAACAGAGCCACAGAGAGCCATAAATGGCCCTTACAGAAGGAATACAGGGAGTGTGTGGTGAAAGAAACCAATCCATTGTCCCAGTAAACCCATCAGGTTGATTTCTCCCCCTCTATAGATCCAGAAAAGTTGTTATGATTATTTGCATTATTATTCTGGGTGGCGTTTTACAGCAGTATGTCACAACGTGGTGATATGGGTTAGTGGACAAAGTGGCATTCAGTCAAAGGTTGGACTTGATGATCTTGGAGGTCTTTTCCAATCTTCCATGATTCTCTAGATGTCTTGGGCTGGAAGATGTGCAGCTCACAGCTCTGTCCCAGGCGCATGCCAGGCATCAGTGGGGTTTGAATTTCAGTGGCTCTCACAGCCCAGGTTGTGTCCCAGCCTCGCAGGGCCTTTGGGGAGGGCTGTCCTGACAGGACTTGGAGGAGCCCATGAGCTCAAGGACAGGTGACACGGTCCAAAGCAAGGACATGGGCCATGGCCCTGCCCTGCTGGGGGTCTCCTAGCACTGGACTGAGCCCAGCCTGATCCTGTTACAGACCTTGAGGAATTCATCTGTGAGTGATGGAGCACAGGCAAGACAGATCCCAGGTTGTGCAGAGCACCAGAAAGGAGGATTTTCCCCCCTCACCTTCAATCAAAACAATTCCCTTGCAGCCATGGTCCGGGAGCTGTGCTGGCGAGGGGCACGCAGAGGTCGGGGAGCAGGCGAGGTGAGGGGATGAGGTGGGCAGGACCAGACCTTCTCACCAGCCATGCCAGCCTGCTCTTTGCTTGTCACATCAGTGATGCTGCTGGCTAGACAGGGACAGGAGACTTGTACTGCCTGGGGCACAGGGAGTCTTGCTTTTATCTTCTCACTTTCACTGTGCATCAGAGAATGTGTCTGCCTCCCTTCTGTGAGGGAGGCACAGGAGAGCCCGTGCTGCTCTGGACACGAGCAGGAGTAGTGGCTCCTCCTGTTCTCTCAGCTGGGCCCTGCTGCAGCCAAGAGTTATTGTCTGTGAAACCAGAACCTGGGAAAGTGCAGAAATTGCCTCAAAGGGCTGGAATGAGCTTTCCAGGGCTTCAAAGCTCTGAGAATTTGTTTATAACAGAATCCCAGAATGGTTTGGGTTGGAAGGAACTTTAAAGATCACCCAGTCCCACCCCCTGCCATGGGCAGGGCCAGCTTCCTCTAGCACAGGTTGCTCCAACCCCATCCAAGCTGGCCTTGAACTTCAACAAGATTTTGGCATTCCACTTTCCTTCCGGAATAAAAGGCAGGAGGTTGTAACATTTGAGTATCTCACGTTCCTCATCCA